TTTCGACCTTTCGGTACCAGCATGTCGCCATCCCCAGTCCAGCAGATGCTTGACCTCCTGAACGGGGTGCCGCTCCCCCGGGACCGGCCCTTCACCGTCGCTACCGCCGTGGCCGGGGTTCCGCTGGTCGCGTACCTAGTGTCCAGCTATCGGGGATGGCTGGCGCTGGGCCGAGGCGGCCTTCCGGCCAACCCGCTCGGCTATGCGATTAACTTGGTGCTGCAAGTCGTCGCACGGAGAGACGGTAACTTGACCTGTTGCGACTCCTGCCCCATAGACGGCCATCTCGTCCGAGATATGACCACTGACATCGGCTATCTAGTGCGGGCTCCGGCGCCCTACACGCTGGAGGAGCTGGAGCCGACGTACGGGGCCGTGGCGCGACAGTCGTTCTTTACGCCGAGCCCGCCTCCGGAACGCGACGGGGGCCGGCCCACCGTCCCCTCGTATGTGGCTCCGCAGCGGCAGATGAGCGAGCGTGCGACGCCCGAGATGGTCGCGCGTATGGGAACATTCCTCCAAGATGTGGTGGCGGCAAACTCGGCCCTGCTGGTGATGCGGCCCTCGCGGCTCGAGGGCCCGAGACACCGGGCCATGTGGTTGGCTGACGGCGTCGAGCGGCCCAAGCTGCTAATGGGTACCCGCGGCGAGTTTGTCCACGTCCATGGCGAGGGCAGCTCGCACCTGGTGCTGAGCCTTGCCGACGCCACCCGCGCTATCGAGCTCTGCTGGGCCGAGCGACACAGCCTGAGCGGCGGACTGGGTGGCCAACTCCCCTGGAGCTATGTTTTGATCTACGCGCCGAGGACCGAGGAGGAGTTGGGCCTTTGGAAGACCTTCGTCGCCGCCTCGGTGAGGTTCGTCACTACCGCCGCCGGTGGTCCAGGGGTTACAATCCCGTATTCTTGAATGGGCTTTCTGTGTGGCATCCGAGGAACCATGCATCCATCCTCTTGTACGTTGATACAGCTCGAGGACGAACGGGGAGACACGGTACTATACGTACGGGAGTGGGATTGGCCTTGCCATTCTTGTCCGTTGGTCGCCGTGCGCTGCGGGGATCGTCATACCCGTGTTCCCTGTTCCTACCGTCAGCCGGACCAGGGGCTCTCTCTGGACTCTAATGAGTGCTGTCGATATATCAATCATCGAGGCAGCATCCTGGGACCGGTACAGCAACGTAGGATTAACATAGCGACTCAAGGTAGTGAAATGGCCGAGGCGTGCCTGGAGCCCGTGACTTTTTGAAAAACTCGACAGATGCCGCAAAGTCGCATGTTACATGGCTGCAGACCCCATGGGGCCGCAATCACGAAGGTCGGAACCTCGAGGCGCGACCACGCGGCCCAAGGCCCTTCGGCCCTTGCACGGTCCGCCGTCGCTGGTGATTTTCACGGCCAGAAGCACGACCCAGGACAGGGCAGAGCAGAGCAACGCCACGGAACGGGGCAAGAGTCAGGCGCGCGCGGATTAGAAAGCCGACGTGGACACTGAGGGGCGCAACGTCAGCACAATAACAAAGGAGACGTGGGCCGGAAGCTACTCACTCAGTCACCCTCCGATACACTCTTTTCGTAAGTCCTTGATATCCACGAGAGTGCCAACCCATGGTAGCTGAGGTACCAATATGGGTAATACGACCCTCCCCTTCGCCGCCTCCGGTTAAATATCCCCCTCGTCGGAGGCATCAGATCCATTCCCCGTTTCAGCACAACCCGGCTGCGAGCCTTGGCACGCCGCGACCTCCCGGGCTCACGGAGGCTCTGGACAAAACGAGATGTATGGGCTTCCACGGAATAGATTGACTCCTCGTAGGGGGCAAGATATCCCGTCACTTGGTACCCATCACATAGTGCCCCCCTCTTCTGTAAAGTCTGCACTGAATGGTCATATGGGCCATGCAGTCGTTGGCCACAGAGGGGCGCGGCAGGGGCGCGACAGGACTATCTGAACGACCTACAAGAACGGACGCATAAGTACGGCAACATCTCTCTGCCCTGGTGATCGATCTCTTGGCTCGTCACTCTTTCCAGCTAAGCACTGCCAATATATCATCATCCGCAACCATGTTCCACCAAGCCTCCCTCCTCACGCTGGCCCTGGCCGCGCTTCCCTTCTCTGCCGCCCAGGTCTCCGAAGGTTTCGAGGACGGATGGGACCAGACTACATGGCCCATCTATGCGCCCGACTGCAACCAGGGCGGTAGTGTCAGTCTAGACACGACCATGGCGCACAGTGGCTCGAACTCCATGAAGGTTGTGGGCGCCGGTGGCTACTGTGGACATATCTTCTTCGGCACGACCGATATTCCTTCGGGAGATGTCTATGTCAGGGTCTGGCTGTAAGTCTTGGTTGCTCTGGCTGCGCCGTGCTTCGCCGTGGAAGGATCAGCATGGGCCTGATAAAGCCATGCAAGCGCTGACTCTTTCCCAGCCAAGCCTCGGAGGCCCTCACGGCCGACCACGTCTCCTTCATCACGATGCCCGACTCGGCGCAGGGCACTGGCGAGAATCTCCGCATCGGAGGCCAGAGCGAGATCCTGATGTACAACCGCGAGTCGGACGATGCCACTCTCCCCGACCTCTCCCCGGATGGTATTGCCACCTCTGAGGCGCTTCCCACGGGGGCCTGGGAGTGCTTCGAATACCATCTGGGCACCGACGGGACCATCCAGACCTGGCTTAACAATCAGACCATCACCGGTCTGTCAGTGGGGCCAGGTATCACCAACGCCAACGACAACGGATGGACGGACAAGTCCTACACGCCCGCGATCACCGCCGTCTATTTTGGGTGGGAGTCATACGGCGGCGACACCAACACCTTCTGGTACGACGACATCTCCATCCAGTCGACTCGTGTCGGATGCTGAGATGTGGCGGCTTCCACCACCGGCAACCATCATCGAGGCTTTACAAGTACCCGAATGAAACGGTAAAATGGACAACTTCCATATCTGCTGGGGCAGATACTCCTCGGCGCATAGGCAAAGATGTAATCTATACTGCTCCGAATATGTATACGCTAGAGAATACAAAGTCGAGTTGTGCTCCAAGAAGGAGCTGGCCTGGCAATGGTGTTCAATACGCAGATGCCCACGGCATCTAGTGACAGACTTGCTAACCTGAAATTCTCTCCACTATGTCTACCCGTAGGGCATCAGTCGGGTGACGCGCAAGGGTCCTTAATTGATTTTCTGAATTGGCGGCCTATGAACACCGGGAGTTGGTCTCGACGGAAGAGTGATGGGAACCCTTTCCACTCGTGGTTACCCTGCGGCTGGTTCTAGTTGAAATGGTCCTGCCAATGGTTACAGGATGCGACAAAGAAACGAGTGATTCTGGCTAGAGGCCGCCCTCGTCTCCGAGAAGCTTGAGGCAAACAAACACCTTGATACTCGCCGAGGGTATTTAAGACTAGGTTATATGACTACTTGGTATATGTATTCAACGAGACTCGGGCAACCCAGCGGGCTAGGCTTTGAGCTGCCGGTCATGGTCTAAGTTTTATACTTAAGTATTACAGTATGCTTCTCGAGTTATCCAGTTTCTGAGCCCTCCCTGTTCTTATATTTGTGCTGTAGTTAAGCCTTAAGGCTGTTTCTTCCATTCAGCCATATAACGAACGTATAGGGTCATTGCCATCGTGGCGGCCGGCACCGACTTATTCCGTAAGGTTAACTTGATTATAAGACTGGGTAAGCTGTCCGAGGCAAAGTCGAAGCGGCAACGGCTTGGAGAGATAAAGTGACTACCGAGCTTGTTTCTTCACGGGACACCAGGGTTGAGTCACCGGGGCAAGCTGTCAAAACTCTCGCGCCGCCGGGTTTAAGGTATATAGCAGCGGAAAACAGTATTAATAGCCATAGCTGATCCTCGGCAAGTGACCTATTCTATTTCAGCAGGAAATAAATATTTGCCAGGACCTTAAGAGATAGGTACCTATATGGATGGTTAACTGAGAGGGTAAGTTAGCGGCGTAAATACCGGTAGTTAGGTTATAGAAGAAAGGGTTCTGGGTGATCTGTAACGCGAGCTTACCTCCGCTTAGAAAAACGGCTCGTGGTAAGAACAGAGATCGTAATCTTGAAATTGAATAATCTAGCCGGAAAGTATTCGTGGTTCGCAGTTAAAATGCAGCCTTTACGGAGTACTGCAGGGTGGCGTAGCCGGCCACGGTAGGTTAGTAGTGCCGGTAGTCGTCTGAGAGGGATAAAGCGATTGATTTAGAGTAACTATTAGGAAACCGATAAAACGTTTGGGGTATATGGTTTACGGCGCGGGTTTAGTAATATAATAACTACCCTAGCCAGTGGATTTCCTCGAGATGGATATACGGGTTAAATGGATATAGTTTTATAGCCCGAATTGTTTTATATAAAAGCTTTCCTAGCCAGTGGATATTTGCATAAGGATAGGCTTTATCCAAAAAAATCCACTTACTAGGGTAGGATTTATTAGGGATAAGTTATAAATTTCCCTGATTTTAGCTTTATCCCCACCCCCCCACCCCCCCTCCCCCCCTAAAGTGCTGCCGCAGGGCTGGGAGCGTACGGCTACGGAGCGCACGGCGCAGTACCGGGCTGGGAGCGTACGGCCATAGAGCGCGCACACGGCTATAAAGCGCGCACACGGCCATGGAGCGTACGGCCATAAAGCGCGCACGCGGTCGGCTATAAAGCGCACGTACGGCCATGGAGTGCAGCCATGGAGTGCAGTTATTTAGCGCGTACGGTTATCTAGAGTTACCGGCTCACTAATTTAGGAGTCACGTGCCAACCCTCGAGATGGATATACGGGTCTTATTATGGGACCGTGGATTACCCTCGCCGGCCGCAATCATATCCACTGGCTAGGGTAGTCACTGTAAGTTGGAAGTTACTGAGCAGTCAGTGGCTGGCATCAAGCACCAAGCATTCACATCGGTAGAATGGTGTCATAAGAATCGACTAAACATTCAATCCAGCCAACCACAATGAGCCAATAGGCTCCGCCTGATAAGCCCGCGTGGCGCAGTGGTAGCGCTCTGTTCTTATATGTGTTGGGGCAACTCAACAATACTATGGTAATGCAGCTGTCGTGAGTTCAATCCTCACCGTGGGCATGGCTTATTTCATTTTTTGGCAAAGCTACGAATCTACCTGGTAGCCAACCAACACCACCCAACTAACCCAAGCGATCCAACCTCATTTACTCACTGTCCAACTTGGAGAATAAAAGGCGCGCTTGCTTGCGCATTGGCTTTTGAGATGAACTTACAGATATACTTCAACTTCAGTGCGTCGCAGCATCTATGTCTCTAGACGCTGCGTCGCCTACTTTTTCCCATGCACTCACTCATTCGCCAGCTTGTTGGAGGCTTACAGGCAGGCCACTGCTGTGATCACTACGATCTCCTCGATCCTAACAATGAACCCGACGTTGAATGCAGTATCCCGGCGCCGAAGCACTGGCCCACGTGTGGAAATCATCTAGCTTTATGTGCATAGCCCTTTTTTCCCATGTGGTACATGTCATCATCCACACTTAGTATAACCAGGTAGTCGATAAGATGTTGTAGGTAGTACTGTGGGTTGCTGGAGGAAAGGAGGAAAGCCGTGACTGCGTCACGATTCGCAGTCATGCAAACGCTTCTGGGCACTGATTCTAAGATCTAACTTACTTCAACAGAGACCGAGTCATAATACTACTGCCTGCCAGTGCTCTTATCCCTCTCGGTGTTCCCGCCCTGGGATTTTCATGTGTCTATCCGTAGAGTCCATTGACTCCATAGGTCGGTGACTCGACGAGACACGACAACTATCATACTAAAGAAGTCACGGACCGTTCACAACAGCAGCAGCCAGCTCCAGGGTCCCTAGCGTAGCATAAATTAGATTCGGCATTCTCCTTTCCAGCAGTTGAAACTGTTACTTGTTATATGTTTTATACAGGTCATATGTTTTGCAATTATTGCTCCTGGGACGAGCGTTGGGCTGCTCGATGGTGTTGGGCGACATGGACATAGAAGGACGATCCCTAGGTACCCAAGAGATACTGGATTACCGACTTACTTCATTGGGTCGTTGTCCTGCTTGCTTTGCTGTGGGCCATATCAACTTGACGAACGATCAGAAAGTTATCGACCACAGGTTAGGCAGCACACCGGTACCCCTGAGACCTGATAGTTCACGACTGGGTGACCAGACACCTACCTGTCTACTCAGGGGCATTCGAGAGCAGTCAATGTCCGAGGAATTCCACTCGGAGACCGCGGCTTGGATAAATAGCTAAAGGAAGCCATGCACGGTTATCTCCGTATACATGGACACCGAGCCTTTGTCGAGGCTTACAGGGCTGAGTTTTGACCAGAGGCTGTCGTTCTCGCTCTCGCTGTGCTTACCGTACTTGAATGCTCACGACAAGTCAATACTCATTATTAGAATGTGTTACTTGAGACACGCCGATGAATCATGGCCAAGCATAAGAGCTGCTCACGGGTCCTGGTCCTGCGGCTTACCTGGTTCACAGACCCTCGTGATGTCGTCGTCAGCTTCGTCTGCCCCAGCCCATTGAATAGCAGACACATCAAAGTTACGCAGGAGGCTTTCTCTCCCATTGGGTCATAATACCCCAACGTGTGGAAAATTGCCTCCACAGTGTGAGCCCCCTTCCGTGGGCAGGGATTCTATTTTCGCCCATCTATCTCTCAAAGGGGCACAGAAACATGTAGCTCATGGATTAAGTTAACAAGTCGCTCGTCCTCCCCTGCCTCTAATGGGTCAGGACGTCTGCATAAAGAACTCACAGCCTGGGTTGACAACGAACTAAGTTAGAGTGGGCGATGCGCAACTGAACCCCTCGAGGCCGAGGAATTCCGTGTATTGCTCGTTGTGCTTCTCACCTGGAAGACTCTTCGCGGCGTTGGGGACCCACTCGGGGCCTAGGGTGGGTGATGCCGTCGTAGATGGCTCCGTCAAGGGGCTGGATCGTCATGCTGGCTCGGAGTCTCGAATAGACGCTGGCTGAACACACGCTTACAGATCATCTGCGAACACGAGTTCCTAGTACCGCGTATGACGCGCGGGCACACAGGCAAGATCAGGGACTGGCTCGACTGGGTGGTGTCGTCTATCAACACTTGCCTGACGCGTTATTACCGGTGCCAGACTCCCCACCAAGTGTAGGACTAAAGTCGACGATGGTTCCAGGATCTGCAGCAACGTTACGAGATTATTCATAGAACACAAGCAACTACCCAGTACAGCCCCAGTAGAGGGTATAAGACCTAGCGGCGGCACGGGCGGCTTAGATCCCCGGGGTGCCGGGATGCGGCCCAGCTGAGCCAGCTGAGCCTCTGCGGCAGTGTTTAAGTGCTGACCCTCAGCCAGCACCCGGCTCAGACGACAATAGGACGACGCCGTCGAAGAGAACGATATCGCTTGTATATAAGAACGAGAAGCCGACTCGTGGTTTGACGTCCGAGAAGTAGAACGGCAGCATCAACCACTCAAGCAATCAAGCAACAAAGCAACCAACCAACCAAACAACCAACAAAGCAACCAATTCCATCCACTTATACACACACACCTACTACCTACACCTCAGCCATGTCTCTGACCAAGGTCTTCTCCATCTTGGCGGCCGGCGCGGCGTTCGCGGCGGCGCTCGAGCCGGTCGCCGTGGTCAGGATCGAGGCCTCGCACGGCGGGGCCGGCAACGGCCTCACCAACACCACCTTCGCCACGCCGCTGGGCTCCATCTACGCCGACGCGACCAAGCTCGACGAGGTGTCGACGCTCTACCTCGACGGCGTATGGGGCGCCGACGCGACCCACGTCACCTGCACGCCCTACGCTTACAACAACGGCACCGGTCGGGGCGGCCTGGCCTTCACCACCACCGAGCCCTCGTACCTCTCGACCAACACGGTCCAGGTCGGCAGCGTCATCTGCCGCCTGGACTCCTAAGGGGCGGCCTCTCGGAGATGATGCGACAGCAGCAACGGAGAGGCGGATTGGCCTCGAGAGACGGACGACGGAGACCTATAGACTTTTCCTTCCCCAATGACCCAAACCCATACACTCATTTGCATCTGTCGACAAACATCAGCATTACCATAGACTACATAATGATAGAGCCTGTTTTGTTCATCTTCCTCGCTGCGTGTTCTTCTTGGCGGTCTGCGGTCTTGGTGACGAACGAGCAGAAGTGGACGTATGATCCGTACATGCCACTAGCGAAGATGTGCTGAGCATCGTCGGTGATGGCGAAATCGGCTCTTTACGTCCGTTCAGATTTGAAGGAGGCACGTGGTAAGTTACCGGAAGGATACTGCAGGTGCGGATAGGTGCAGGCTGAACCCATTTCCAGCCGCTCGGGTCGCTGTCAGCTCGGCATGGCCCATCATCCTTTCCGATGCTGCCAACCTATTTATATCAAGGGGACGGCGATCCCTCTTAACGGAAAAGCATATATAACCCGTGCCACAGGTCACGAGTGATCGTGGATGGCATGATATTGGTGGTGAGGAATGACAGGATAACCTGGAATGGGCCAGGATGGTTCGGCAACGCGAGCAAGAAGGCATGTATCAGCCATGAACTCCGACTCTGCGCTGTCCTTTCATGGGCAACCCAACCTTGTAGCTATGTCCCATCACCAGGCCGCAGACCCAGTATGACGAAGGCCCAATGCAGCAACTTAGCATAACAGCTGGACTTCTCACACGTGGCGGATTCTGGAGTTTTTTCGTATACCTCGCCTGCTGACTATCTTTCTACTTGTGGGAGCAAGCGGAACATCTGTGGTGGTCTACCGGCACGTGCCTCCGAATGCAACGACTGTGGTCATAAGCGTCATGGTATTCGTAATTCGTAATCGTCCCCTCAAGTGGAGGGCAAGAGTAGTCACACATGCAGCTGGCCCGTCACACCTTATCTTTCCCGAGAGCCAAATTTCTGACGCCTCGACGTCACCGATCGTGTGACTTCAGATGGTCCCCGGTGAATCCCAGCTCGCCCGCGGTCACAGAGTGGTAGATTTCGCTCATTCGTCGCAATGGCAGAGGTCCTCGATGCGTTTGCGTATCTCGTAACCTTCAGCTGCACAAGGCCTTGTTGAGATCACCGTACTCTCTCGCGCCTCTCCACCTCCTGGACGTACACTTCGCGCTCGGGCGGTGGCAGAGCCCTCGGCAACGGCGCCGGCCTTTCTCGGAGATCCGGATCCCTGCCCATCTCGGATACGTCGTGGGTCTTCCCGACGTGGTTGACCAGGGTCTCGACACTGGAGCAGATAACGTCGGCGTCCCTGAACCTGTTGCACAGCACGCAGGCGTACTCGCCGTCCTCGGTGTGGCACTTGACCAGAAAGCGCTGGCCGAGGTGGAAGCGGAAGTCCTCCATGATCTGCTCCTCGTATCGGCCGTCGGTCACGATGGCCGGCGCGCGCTTCTCAATGTTCCAATACGTCTCGGACTCGTCGACCTGCAGCCGGACGCGGCACTCGGGACACCGGCCGTCGCCGCCGGGCGCGAAGGATGCGGACAAGGGCTTCCTCGGGATGTACTGCAGGTCGAGGCTGTACCTGCAGAACAGCGTGTCCGTGTCGACGATGGTGGAGGCGCGCTTGGGGGCCGCGAGTGCCCGCTGCATCGGCTGCGTCTCGAGACTGAGCCGCTGAAACTGCTGCCGGAGGGCGTCGAGCGAGCCTTGACGAGCGGCTTGCGAGGCCAGCATGAGTCTCTGCATGTCAGCGCGCGATATGGTCCGCTCGTTGACGAGGGCATCTTGGAGCACGTTGATGACAGTCTGCTGGAGAGCAATGATCTGGGCCTGGAGCTGATTCTCCGTGACGGCTGTGTGGCGACATGGACATCAGCATACGACACCACGGCCTCCCAGAAGTTCTGGCGACAGGGGAGCGACCTACGATCACCGACTGCATAGCGCCGGCCCAGGCGCTCGACGCCTTCGTCGTACTGTCTCCGGATTACTAGAGCAGCGCGAGTCAGCACGTCACGGAGCACCACGCGCACATCAAGCCGGGTCAGCGCTCACAGGCTCCCGATGACTCCAGTGAGCGGCCCAGCTCGTTGTCCGGGGGCAGACGGCGGTCTCTGGG